TCTCCTTCGAGGTCCGAACAGCACGAGATGGACTCCGTTGTCGTATAATTCTGGCATGCTGATTCCTCAGTATGAAGAAAAGTGATCGGGGTTGGATGAGGCATATTTATGAATGAATAACTTACAGTTGTGTAGCGCCTGATAGCCTAGTAATTATGTACGTATCATATTCCTTCCTGTGCAATAAGCACCCCGCAGAAGTCGACGCTTTCATAAAACTTGTATTTCTAGCTACTTAAACACAAAATTCTTCACATATATAGCATTCTCTCAAGCTTTAATACAACTCATTGAAGTTGAACGACCACGATTGAGGCAGAATTGAGTGGGATAGTTGAAAGTGCCGAAGTCACGCAGCAGAGTTTCAATTCCCGCTACCTTAGAGGCTGTTCGGCAACCAGATGTTGACCAACATTTGGCAAATGTCATCTCGGCTTGGATTTCGCCGAAATTCGGAGCTTGAATCATAGGCCGAATTCGGACTAACCCTAGCACACTGATATGGGCTGTAGGGTATAATACACTGTCATTAGAGTTGTATTCTATGTGTCCCTACACCAATGGATCCTCATTTGAGACTCCAGCATTTCATGCCCCAACATTCAGAAGTTCAATGCCACCTCATCCAACATTCAATCCTTCTAGTCAGCATCTTAATCAGCACTACAGCTAATATACTAGAGTCAGTATATGCCAAAGATCTGGAGCTGTATCATACATCTGCTCTCTCTGGCAAAACCTGGGTGATGGAGCTGTTGACTGGCCACCCAGAACAGATCCAATGTGAACTTGGCATGCATGGACATGCTTTTGCAGAGCTTATATCTGAGCTTTGTACCCTTGGCTATACCAACTCCAAGTGTGTTTTGCTAGAGGAACAACTTGTGATTTTTCTATATACATCTGTCACAGGACTGTCTGTCAGGCATGTTGGTGAACGATTTCAACACTCCAATGAAACAATTTCTTGGTAAGTACATGCTAATAGTTATGATCTGCTGATGTCTCATTGTATTTCCTATGTAGTTATTTTTGCAAGATGCTCAACATATTCTTGTCTTCCCCCTTCTATACAAACTATGTTCACTTGCTGGATGACTCTGTTCCTGATAATCACTCTGACCCTAAGTTTTGGCTGTTTTCCAAAGATACCATTGGGGTTATTGATGGTAGCCACATTCACACTTCGCCTTGCACATTCAAATGAGGTCCCTATTGCAATTGGAAGGGATTTGTTTCACAAAACTGCCTGTTTGCCTGTGACTTCAAGTTCAACTTTACTTATGCACTCACTGGCTGGAAAGGGTCGGCCACAGATGCACATGTCTATGAGGCTGCGGCAGGCCATGACCTTCATATTCCTGCAGGGAAATACTTCCTTGCAGATGCAGGCTTCCCTCTGTGGCCTGAACTACTCATTCAGTATCATAATGTGCGCTACCACCTTGCAGAATGGGGCCACACAGGTTTGAGGTATGTGTACTGGTGTTATTCTTTCTACAATGTGCTGATTATTTACAGGCCAACTATGAAAGAAGAGTTATTCAATCTCTGTCATTCATCTGCTTGAAATGTCATCAAGTGGATTTTTAGTGTCCTTAAACAATGTTTCCGAATCCTCCATCTATTACTGCCATATGCTATGAGCATACAAGCTCAGATTCCAGCTGCATTGTGCTGCATTCACAATTTCATATGTTTTCATGATCCCTTGGAAGGTGCACTACCTAAAGCAGACTATTTGGACCTGGACACTCATATGCATGCCACAAACTGGGAGCAGGCAGCAGAAGAAGCACACAATGATCTGCATGTGAAATGTGATCTCATTGCACAAGTGATGTGGGTTGAGTATCAGTGTATTTTAGAAGAACAACATGATCTTGGTAACAATGACAATGATGCATTGGATGATGAGGATGTTGAGTATGAACTGGATTGATTCTTACAAGTAGCATGTAGTTGTATCTAATCTGTGTCATATCTCACAATCTGGACTCATGTTCCATCATATTCCCACGCCTTCCGAGCCTATGTCTGGACCACACTTCATATCCAACTCATTCCCAGATCCCCTTCCACTGTGTGCTCCACACCTCAGCAGGATCAACTATGCTCCAGATTTACCCCTGAGATCTGGACCATCGGATCTCCACTGCTAGCCTGAACCATAACCCCCTGTCCCATCCACCCTGTGTACACTCCATCCAGCAAGACATCTGGACTTCACCTCGTCTCAGTTTCCAGACTCTATCCACCTTCTCATATCCCAGTCCTGTATCCACCTTGTCTTCTGGATCCCCAGATCTCTGGACCTCCGGATATTAACTCCGGACCTATTCCCACCCTCTGTCTGATATCCTGCGCCTATCCCCATTTAGGCATTCTCTGCTTTCTGGCTTTCAGTTACCTCTTCTTCCATCTTGCTTATTGATCCTTGTATGAGTCTTCATCTCCAAGTTCATTTACTTATGTTCCATCTTACTTACTAATGTGTTTCCACATGCTCATACATAGCCTTGCTCCTTTGCTTACTGATCCCCTCAGATAGTCTCCAGTATGTAACCCCTGTAGATACTCCTGTAGTTTCCTTAGTTTGAATATCAACTTAGACTTGCCCAATCCTCTCTTGGACTTTGGTCCACCTAAGTCTGTCCTACCCATCAGGCCTAGGGATTGATTCCCTAGGCCGGAGCTCCACCTTTCCGGCACTTACCCTCTTTCCAGACTTAGGTCCAATCCCTGTCTCTCCAACTCTACCTTAGGGTAGTCTACCTCTGTTTGTTTCTACATCAGACTCCATCTGATGTAGCCCCTATTCCTTCTGGACCTCCGGACCTCCTGTCCCTCGTACCTCCGGGCATCCTGTCCTTCAGACGTTCTGCCCTCCATACCTTTGGACATCCTGTCCTTCTGTCCTCCGTCATCCTGCCCTCCTGCCCTCCTGTCCTCCTGTCCTGTTTCCTGTAGAAGTATTACCTTGCAGTGGGAACTCTCCTGAACACTTCCTGCTTTCCTCCAGAACTCTCCCATGCTCCTCTGGAAGTCCTCCGGACTTTGTTGGACCATCATCGGACCTCATATGAAATGAAGGGCACATACTCAGGTAAGGGGCACAGTGTACAAGCTGAGGCCAAGCCCCTCTGAGTCAGTCTCTCTCTCCTTTGAGCAACATGGTTCTTAACAATCTGTTTCAATTGGTATATGATTCAATGACTTGGATGTGTGAAATACAGTAGAATGAGTAGTACATGAAAAGGATACTACATATTGGTATGAGAAATGTAACAAGTGTGTCAGAAAAAGGTAAAGGTGCATTGGAAGACTGCCATATTTAGACATTGTGAAGGCACCTTCCAGCTGTATTGCATCTGAGATGGCATGGCTGAACCTATATTTGAAGGTCCTTGAAAGGCACATCCCATGATTGTGGCAACTTCCAAGACTGGCTCGTGTGTTCCAATGTGCTCTTATTGATGTATAACTCTTTCAATAGACTGAATCCAATATCATCTACCTTGTCAACCATTCAGTTGTTGTTCTGTTCATAATTATCTATATTATTGCAATGACACCACCAGGACATCATTATATATTAAGCTCATTGTCCAGCAACATTGTGCAGTGTTAATACTGTACTCAGTCTTTTTTGACTTGCAGGATCAAATCACACGAAAACAGTTACCTGCAGAAGTGGCAGAAGAAGAAGGACAACAAGGAGTTTGCTTTACTTGCAGCACAGGCAACCAGTAAGGCCCAAAAACAAGGTATGTTTGACTTATAATACAATGTGTAGTTTAATTTACTAATCATGGACTGTAACGTTTGGATCAGAATGTTGCCAAGATAGAAAGTGACATCTGGATCACAAGGTTCAGCTGATGTCTCATCAGGCGCCATCTGGTGATAATGTGCTTCCTGCACCCACTGATCTTGCCTTGATAGGTCCAGGAACACATGGGACTGATCATAGTCCAGGCAATGCAATGAGCATCAATGGCAATTCACTCCAGCCACATATGGTGTTTATTTCATTCTATTCAAACTAATCATGGTTATAATTCAGGCTCAGATTCAGATTGCAGCATGTCAAGCAATGGTCCAGTCATTGTGCATGAATATCTGCTTCCACCCATTGGCATCATGGCCTTTGTCACACCTCTTGATGCTACCCATCCTGATTTCAATGCCTTAAAGACAGAGTATCATCCTAATGCTTGTCATGAGCCTGTAATCAAATGTTTTTCTGCATTTGGGCATGCTCATGCTAACAACATGAGGCCATGCATTGATGATGAAGCACCATGGATTCCATTCAAATCTTGTGCAGACTTTGAGTTTGCTGAAATTGCACATCAAGCTACTCTCAACAAAGATCAGATGGACCGACTGTTAAAGCTGGTTTGGAGGATATTAGATAGCAACACTAATTTTACTTTAAGATCTCATGCCGATCTGTCAAGAGCTTGGGATCTTGCAGCAAGCCAGATGACTCCAGTGAGTGTAATATAATCATATATAATCATGTATCACTTGTAATATAAATGTTGTTTCAGTTTGAGAAGTATATTGTTCCTGTCCAGCATAAGAAGGAGGTCTTGGAGTTTGAGATGCATGCATGGCCATTATGGGACTGGGCAATGGATTTGCTTAGTGAACCATTATTGGGACTGCACTTCATATGGGATGCACAGCACTTGTATAAACATGATGGGACTGATTACAAGCACTTTATCCATGAACTGTAGACAGCTGACCACTGGTGGTATATCCAGGTATGTCCTTATTATCATGCCACCACCCACACCAAACTGATGTTGTTTACTACTCTATTATAATAGTTGTCATTACCTAGTAATGGAGCCCCATTTGCCATCATACTATATGCAGACAAGACCTATTTGTCCTTGTCTGGCACAGTCAAGGGCTACCCTGTTATTGCTCACTGTGCCAATCTACCAGTTGACATCAGGAACCGAGATGGAATTGGTGGTGGATGAGTAGTAGGCTGGCTACCTATCGTAAGTATTCACAAACTTGATTTGGTGCTTGATGTGGCAAGCCAACTCCTTCTATTGCTAATAAATGACTGTTTGATAATAGGTCCCTGAAGATTCTGGAGGAGATGGAAAACTAAGCCATACAAATCTCAAACACATTGTCTGGCATGAATCATTCTTCAAGTTACTTGAGTCCATCATCTTGTATGCAAAGACAGGATTCACACATAAGTGCCATGATCGCATCACACATTGGTTATTCCCTTTGATCCTTCTACTTTCAGCTGATTATGAGGAGCAGTAAGTCTTTGTAGGTTAATGTTTCAGTCATTTTTACATGTTTAATGGCAGGTGCATGATGGTGCTAATATGGGAGAACTGCAATTGCCCATGCCCTGTCTGCCTCATCCCCTCAACAAAACTATATGACCACACCATGACATACCCTCTCCAGACTACTGAAGAAGTGCAAGCTTGTATTCAGCTGTACTTTGATGACTGAGTTGCTGGAGAAGAAGCTGTAAGGATTAGCAATTGTTTGACACCAGAAATAGCCATTTCAATGCTTACCTTAACCACAATCAGTGCACTATCAATGTCAATCTCATTCTTCATCACTGTCACCCCATTCTCAGCTCACTGTCTCTGAATCTGTCAAATCCACTATGCAATTCTTGTCATTATGTCCATAACATACCCATTTAGATTAACACTCACTCAATCATTTCATACTCTCTGTCTACCCTACCCTGTCAGGAGTGATGCCACTCCCTTCAGCGTCTGTCTTCACATAATCGTTCAGCCTGTCAATATCCAAGGACCCTTAGTATTTTGATGTATAAGAGTAGCTCATGTACACTCACTACGACAGGCAATCATACTAGTCTCCCAGTTTCTGTCTTGCACTTGTTATCTAAATTGCATTGCTATATCCATTGTTTATTGTCTTGCACTCAGCATTATAGTGCACCTGTGGTCACCACACCCCTTTGAACTCGCAGTGAGAACCATCTAGGTTCTTACAAAGCGCTGAAAGAACAAGGTTTGAGACCTGTCAAGGTGCATGTTTCTCATATCTGTCTTTTGGGTGATGTTATTAATATGAACCATTACCAGAATGTGTTTTGGAGAGTTCCAAATTCAGACCCACATGAAATCATTTCATAGGATTCACTTCACTTGTGGCATATGTGATTATTTGGTAGACATAAGTTCAAAGACCTTAAGAAACACATAGAGGACCTGGGGCATGAAGCACTGAAAATGGTTGATGATCAGTGAGTCATTAATCTGTTTGTATTTCTGAGACATTTCATTTAATTATGAATTGAAGGTTTGATGCCTTTCCACAATGGCAAAATCTGAACCATTTTGATCATGTCACTAACATTTCATTTAGCAATGGAAACAAATTTCAAGACATCTCCAAGGTGAATGATAGTTACATTACAATCAGTTTCATTTGACATAATTTCTTCGATAGCGGATTCTGTATACATCTCACAATGTACTCACACATAGTAAGGACAAGGCTGGCTATGGGCTCTTGTGGTGCATTGCAAGCAATTGTTAAGGTCGTACTCAAGGGATAACTGGATCTGGAGGGCTTCGGCCTCAGCTCGTGCGCTGTGCCCCTTACCCAAGTATTGCCCCTTATTTCAGGAAGGCAAGACTAACATGTCCGGAAGGTTGGACAAGTATTGTAACAGGTCCAGATGACTTCCAGATGTGGGATAGGTATCATAGGGCTAATCTGGATGAGTCCAGACTAGAAACTAACAGTATAGACTATTGGAGACAGAGGCGGATATGGATAGACTATAGGAATCAATCCTAAGTCTCAGAGGGTGACGAGAGTGGGGATACTCAAGTCTGGAGGACAGGAATGAGTAGAACTAAGATGGTATTCAAACTGAGGTACTACAGAAAGTTACAGGAGGTTATATACTATAGGTATCTAATGGAATGATCAATTAGCAGAGTCCAAGGCTATGTACAAAGCATGTGGATAGTCTATTGGTAAGTAGAAACGGATCACAAATCATGAAACAGAAATGAAACATAGGTAGCAGATCAGGGAGCAGGACAGATATACAGATAACTGAAATACTGGAGTTAGGGGGTTACCGAAAGGAGATGAGCACTGGTTATGGATTCGGATGAATTGTGGACCGGACTGGACGAGTAGACAGATTGAATGATGAGATGTTGGAGGGAGATAAGATGTGGATAGGATTGGAGATAAGATGTGGATCTGAGATGAGATAAGGGTCAGATCTGAGATCCAGATATGCGGATATGACAGCTACAGTGGCTCAAAAAACTGTCCACATGTTTTTGCATTTTTTACTATTTACAATATTGTGTGAGAATACATAAAGACCTCAGTGACATGCTGATACCATATTGTAGTGCTGCTTCAGGGCTTTGGATTGAGCACCACATCATGAGAATCAGAGGAGATATGGTGGAGATACAAGGCTTACAAAATCATGACTCATGTGGACAGTTTTTTGAGCACATATTAAAACTATATAAATCATCATTTATGACACCATAACAATCATGCCACCATTAAATAAATTATAAAGTGGTGTCATTATGTCATTTTAAAACCATATCTAACTATACAAACCAAAAATTTCCATATGTCATGGTTATATTCACCATGAAAGCCACCCCCCCTGCTCAAAGGGATAATATCCTCTCTCTTTCCTATTCTGGCCTCTCTGCTTGTCAAATTTCCTCTAGAACTGGAGTATCCAAGTCCACTGTGGCCAAGTTCATCAAAGAAAGTCACACAGAGAAGGAAAACTTCTGTGAAGGGCATCCATCCAAGCTCACCTCTACTGATAGGAGGGCTATTATTCAACATATCACTACAGGAAAGGCTGTCCAGGTCACCTATTACATCAATTCCACCATCACATTCCCTGTCTCTTCACACACTGTGAGAAACATTCTCAAGACAGCTCATCTCAGGTCAGTAACAAGGAAGAAAAGGCTCTCCTCTCTATCACACACATGCAGAGAGGACTAGCACCCTTCTTTTTTCACATATATACCTTGCCATCTGACCCAATCCTATTTATTGTGGTCTTATATGATCATATAACATGCTTCCAGTCCATGTAATCCAATTCTGATGGGCTAAGGCAAAGGTTAGTCATCTCTGCATATGTGTGATAGAGAGGAGAGCCTTTTCTTCCTTGTTACTGACCTGAGATGAGCTGTCTTGAGAATGTTTCTCACAGTGTGTGAAGAGACAGGGAATGTGATGGTGGAATTGATGTAATAGGTGACCTGGACAGCCTTTCCTGTAGTGATATGTTGAATAATAGCCCTCCTATCAGTAGAGGTGAGCTTGGATGGATGCCCTTCACAGAAGTTTTCCTTCTCTGTGTGACTTTCTTTGATGAACTTGGCCACAGTGGACTTGGATACTCCAGTTCTAGAGGAAATTTGACAAGCAGAGAGGCCAGAATAGGAAAGAGAGAGGATATTATCCCTTTGAGCAGGGGGGGTGGCTTTCATGGTGAATATAACCATGACATATGGAAATTTTTGGTTTGTATAGTTAGATATGGTTTTAAAATGACATAATGACACCACTTTATAATTTATTTAATGGTGGCATGATTGTTATGGTGTCATAAATGATGATTTATATAGTTTTAATATGTGCTCAAAAAACTGTCCACATGAGTCATGATTTTGTAAGCCTTGTATCTCCACCATATCTCCTCTGATTCTCATGATGTGGTGCTCAATCCAAAGCCCTGAAGCAGCACTACAATATGGTATCAGCATGTCACTGAGGTCTTTATGTATTCTCACACAATATTGTAAATAGTAAAAAATGCAAAAACATGTGGACAGTTTTTTGAGCCACTGTAGGTTACCTCTCCATGGACAAGATATCAAACTCTAAACTCTCCAAGAAGGAGAAAATGTCCAGAATACAGTGTTTATTCCATGACTCTATGTGTACAATCCTAGAACCTTTAAAGGAGGCTGGGCATACTAGGATGGACATGGTTGGTGGAGATGGAAAGGTCTGGAGGATACACCCTATTCTTGCCTGTTATGTGGCCTACTATCTGGAACAGTGTTTGGTCACCTGTGCGAAGTATGGGACTTGTCCCAAATGTCAGAGCCCAGTGTCAGATTTTGGTTCCAATACACCTGGAGAACTGCACACTCAAGCATGGACCATGGGAGTGATCAAGGACGCCAAAGCCAAATCTCACAACCTCCATAAATTTCACTCACTCTGTCAATCCAAGGGGGTTTCTGGTACAGTGCAGTGTCCATTCTGGGAAGTATTTCCCTATTCCAACATTCATCTCTCCATGACCCCTAATGTCCTTCACCAGCTCTATCAGGGAATATTCAAACACATGGTTGCCTGGTGCAATTACTTCCTGCATCCCTCAGAATTAGATGCTAGGATCAAAGTGCTGCTGCCCTGCTTTGGGATTCTTCATTTCCAGAATGGATGGAGTGAGCTCTCCCAGATCTCTGGTAGAGAGAGAAAAGAGATGGCACACATCTTACTGGGATGCTTAGTGGGAAAGGTTCTTAGAAGGGTCATACTTGCCTACTACTCCCTACTAGACTTCATCTATTTAGCCCAGTACCCCACCCATGATGATCACACCCTAGGCTATCTCCAAGATGCTTTGGATGCATCTCACAAACACAAGGTAGTGCTTATTGAGCTGGGTGTAAGGGACCACTTCAATATTCCCAAAATACACAGCCTCACTCACTATATCAACTCTACTCACATGTTTGGTGCTATGGACAATTACAATACTGAGGCTTTTGAGCGCCTCCATATCAATTTTGCCAAGAATGCCTGGAGGGCTACCAATAAAAGGGATGAGCTCCCACAAATGGCTTCCTGGCTGGATAGGTATAAGAATGTGTCATCTTTCCAGCTATACTTGGATAGTCTAGGCAAAACACCTAACCCATGTGAGACTAATCCCCGGCCTCACATATCCCTACCAAAAAGGCTCCATCATTATGGTCAATCACTTCAAGATATCATGGAGTCCCTTTGCTGCCCTAGACTGATACAGGACATAAAAAATTATCTTAATCAGTTGCAGAGAAGGGCTATAGGTGAAGGTTTGGGGTATAATAGATTGGAGATGATGCAGCTTCCATTTAAAAAGCTTGATGTATACCATGGTTTTAAGTTTGTTTTGGAGGAACTGGGGGAGGATGCAGTGGATGACTGTGGACCAAATGACTGGGTAAGAGCATGCCCAAAGACTAGAGGCCCCCATGGTTAGGAACAGTTTGATACTGTTGTGGTGATGAGGACTGATGAGTGTGAAGGCACAGGCCTCAAGGTGAGTTGATTTTGTTTACTTTTCTTGTTAAAATCTGATTATAGAATCCAGGTACAAGAATTGATAGACTACATTTATTGTTCAAGCTACCCCAACAGGTCTACGGTGCTTTTGCCTCCCCAGAGTACTGGCCTACAGAACCCCTGGCCTATATCCAATGGTATACTCCACTTAAACCTGCACCAGAGAAAGACCACCTTATGTATCAGGTGAAGAAGATGCCTCTAAGGAACAGTAACATGGCTCCAGCAGATATCATTCCTATCAGCAGTATATGTCAGACATGTCAGCTTATTCCTTGTTTTGGTGCCAGAGGTGTTCCTGAAGAATGGAGACCAGAAAATGTACTAGATAGCTGTGATCCTTTCTTGTTAAATAACTGGTCCACCAAGTATGCATACCAAACACTGTATTAGGGTTGTAATCTCATATGAAAAAAATTTGATCATCACAAGGCGCCTTTGGAAAAATGAGTTCAATAATAGTGTTAAGGTCGCGTGCTCAAGGGGGTCAGATCACAAGGGCTTGGCCTCAGCTCATACACTGTGTCCCTTTCCCAAGTATGTGCCCTTAATTTCTGGGGGCTAGAACAGTTGTTGGAGTTTCCAGGATTTGACTAGGGTGGACAATGGACATCTGGATCTGAAACATGAGATAAATCTGATGGATGTCCAGATGTTACTTGGACAAGTGGATAAGACTAATCTGGACAAAGTCCAGACTAGAAGCTAACAGAGGATAGACTACCCTAAGGTAGAGCCGGAGATGTAGTCTAGGATACAATCCTAAGACTCAGAATATGACAAGAGACTTGGCTCAAGTCCAGGGGACACAGGAATGAGCAGGAACTAAGATGATATTCAAACTGAAGTATTTCTGAGAGTTACAGGAGGTTTATATACTGTAGGTATCATATAGGAATCAGTCAGCAAACACAAAGGCTCTGTATGGAGCATATCTATTAGTAAGTAGGACGGATTACCAATAATGCATATCGGAAATGAAATGTATGTAACAGATCAATAATCAGAAGGGAAACATAGTTAACCAGAGTCCAGAGACAGGGGAAGTCTAAATGGGATTGGGCACTGATATAGGGTTTGGATTCCAGAAGGAAGATAAAGATAGATCAGATCATTGGAGATCCAGATCTCAGATCCAGATATCTGGAGAAGCAGATTTAGAGTTGAGAGTCCGGAATGGCATATGACAAATAGCCACTATATTTATTAAAGTGGTTAAAGCCATGGATGAAATGAGTGTTGCTATAGAGTTCTTTATAGAGCTATATTAGCCCCAAAAGCTGTTATAGTTGGGCCTTTTTGGACCCCTATCTATATAGCCCTCTAGTGCAGAACAGTTTTTCCTGATGTGCCATAAACTATCCTACTTCAAGTCTGCTGGTTGGGAGGAGGGATGGATTGAGACTGCAGAAAGTCTGGTGTGTGCTGAGTTTGAATGGTACTACTTGGATATGGAGATTGAAGGTGATGCTGATGTTGAGATAGAACCTGACATTGTTCCAGCAGTAGACACATCTTGCACAGTTTTTTTTTACTTCTCTTCATTCTGTTTACCTTGACTGACCTCCTTAGAATATTTTTGATGAGATGCAAGTGCTTGCTCCACCCAAGTTGACAGACCTGGGAGATGAAGTAGACCATTACCTGAGCGCTGATGTTGAGAATGTGTCTACTAATGCTATCACATAGTGGCATGAGTGGCACACTTCCTATCCTTGCCTCTCCCACATGGCACTTGACTATCTTACAATTCCTGGTATGTCCAACTCTTTTCTTAAGTATGAATCATTCTGACATGATCTACAGCTACATACATCAGTCAATGTTGAGCATCTTTTCAGCCATGGTCAGCTCCTTCTCTCCCATGTTTGTTCACATCTATCTGCACAGTCAACAAGGGCGCTGTTGTGCCTCAGCACATGGAGCCATCTGAACCTCATCAATATGGAGGATGTGTTGAAGGTTACCACCTTGCCTGACATTGAGGGCGATGCTGAGGAGGAGCTCAAGGATGGGTGGGACAGGATTTTGTTACATCAACTTAGACTTAGGTACATTTTGTTTTGTTTTTTTGTCCTATGTTAGTGTGCACCCACAGGTGCTACCTTCCATGGGTGTTGGTGTGGGTGTTGGTATATCTGCAGGGGTGATGCTTGTGACACCCACAGGTATACCTGTGTCATTCCCTAACTATTATGCAGCAACTAGTACTATGTTGTAGCTAACACCCATAATTGACAATGTCAATATAACATTGTAGTGTGAAGACAAGGAGGGATATGTATAGTATGGTAGAGGGTTTTAACTTTGAGTTCCACATTCAAGTCCAGCTGCATATAGGAATATGTACCATATTGTCATTTTGTGGTTATGTAGTTAAAATACAGTGATAATGTTGATAGAATCTAAGGTTCATGCAACATTCCCACTGGTCCATAATCTCTTTTTTCCCCCAGTGATACAGTGCAGAAGACAGTAATGATCTTGATGAGTAAGCAAATGACAAAATTAGAGACAGCAAGAAGGTTATTGAGTGTTTCCTGCGGTCTCAAGCAGCCAGATGGTATAGGACAAGTAATGGTATCATAAGTGAAAAAAGTGCACTTGAAAACAATGAGATTTGATGTCTCAGGTAGTGGTGCTCATCATGCGTGACAGTGAGCATGGCTGTGATGATGTGGGAAAAGCCAGAGAAGCATCGGCAAGAGGTGTGTGGAATTAAGTGCATATTCCTGCTACCTTTAGGGAGTGGGTTATATAGCTCGCTATTTTCACGTTTTTGCGGTAGATTCGTCCAATTTTGGCACCCCTTTTTTCCTGCCTCAGATAGTAATAAGCTGTGTTGATTGATCAGTCCAGCCCTTGATAGGCTTTCGCAAATATCAGTGCACCCTTGTTTGTGTTTCCCTGTTTCCTGCTACCAGCATGACCTCGTTCATAGGCTGCCTTCCTGTATCTGTTGTTTTTGACTTGAATTTGCATCTTTCTTTTGTCTCTCCTTCCATTGCTCTTTTGCTTGGTCACTCAGGCCTGATCTCGCGCTTTTCTGAAATTCTCATGGCCTCCTATGATGGCCAGGTGCTCACAACCAATGTCAAGTTTGAGGTTGCTCCTGGTCTCATTTCTGATGTTGTCATTGGGAATAATTGGATCTCTTTGTGGCACATTGTTGGGTGCAAAGATGAGATTCCTGCTTTCAATCCTTATTCCCATTCTATGTCTCACTCTCCAGGTGAAGGTGTTCTTTTTATTTGTTTGTTTTTATACTGATTTGGGTTTATGTCTTTAGATACTTCATGTATATTCAGTGGTGACACCAGCCATATTCAACCTGAAAATAGCTTTAATTGGGAATTATCTCAGTCTTTGTCCCTCGACAGGGCAGTGTTGACATCTCATAGATGCTCAGTTTCAATTGTCTGTGATGTTTTTTTTGGGTCATGTCATTCTGGGGTTTGTCTTGGCCCTTTCCTGTCTGATGCTTCTCTCTTGCATGAGGCATGTGCATTGCATGGTTTAGTAATCAGGCAGTTTTATCCAGTGGTGGAGCTGCACAATCTGCTGCTAAAGCATCTGCTTCATGGTGAGCATGTGGTTCTAGATGCATGCTCTAAGCATTGTGATTATACCGGTTGTCATGAGATTGCTGCAGGATTTAGTTCGTCTTCTGATCTTGCTAATTGTATCTTAGACATGTTAATGTCTTCGAACCCTTCTGTAATATCAGGCGATTATCTCTTGTTACAACCATGTATGCCCCTATTCATTTTCTCTCTTACTGTGTATTATGTCACAAGCCGCATGATGCTGCCACTAGACTTATCTTTTGTTCACATCTTGTATTACATCATGATTGCCATTGCCATTGCTAGATGACCTATTCTTGCTATCACTTATGTATCTCTTATCTTTGACTCACATACATTCTCATGTCTGCCCTAAAGCACTTGTAGCTCACTATAAATAGTCCTCTTGTATGCTTTAGTTCTTTACTTTAATCTTACTAGGTTATACCTGAAACATCCTTCACTTGAGACCTCCAATCTCTTGTCGTCTGAACCATACTTTAAGTTAGAGGCACTCCTTCTAACTTAGCTTATACTGAATGCTTGACTTATCGTCTCACATAGAATCTTGGCAGAGGTCCTGACTCTTATTGAGTCATCTGTCATTAGAACTATCCTAGTTCGTAACATCTCTGGATTATTGCTCAAAGTATTTGTGCTGATCTAGCCTCTATTCATGATCAAGAAGAACATCGCAGGTGTAGAGCTATCAGCATTTCAAAAATATTTCATAGTTGGGGTACCTATGAGTGTGTCTCTAAATCATCACAATTATTATTCTCTGATGTAGAACACATGTTGAAGATTTCTCTGGAAGCCATAGCTTCTTGGCATGATCTGTGTTTTGTGGGCACAAAGGATCAGTTGTTGGATAGGATCATTGATCACATGTCAAAAGGTGAGTGTGCTTTGCATGCACAGTATCATAGCAACTTGTGTTATCACATAGTTGATGAGTATTGCACTGGCAGTGTGTCAGATAACAATACCATGCTGCATTTTTCTGCCGACAGTTCTGATGGTTTTTGTGACACAAGTGAACAGGTGACAGACCTCCAAATTCACCTATTAAATTCAATTTGCAAGGCCATTGCATGCAAGCCATTGTTGCACCTATTGTGCTGCCATGGTGTTGAGTACAATGATATGACAGTCTCTTGCAGCTCAGAAACCACTTGAAGATTCATGTTGGCTTACAAAGGGCAAGCGCGCGTGCGTGTATTGCACTAAGAAACAATGTGAGCATGATAGAATTGATCAAGAATGTGCACGAATTGCTGTGGATTGGCTGCGCATTGTATCAGAGGATAGGAAAAGGTGCATCATCGAGATTTTTCAAGAACAAACGAGTTTGGAAGCGCTAGCTATTTTTGTTTGCTTTGCATGTGCAGCAAAGTATAATGTTAAGGAGAGACAACTGTTATCTTTTAAAGAATTCGATGTTGCTCTCTTGAATCATCCTGATAAGCACCTACATAAAGGCCATGTTGTTGACAAACATTATATGTACCAAGATTTGATGGAATCCAGTATTTGAGAGAACATCTTTGATCATGTTATGTATGAAAGCCAGGGGTTGTCATTTGAGAATGGAGAGACCAAACACCCCACTGGTGCATATTGTTGCAGGGACTGTGCCTTGTCGCTGAAAAGGGGAAAGATGCCGCCATTGGCTTTGGTGAATCACAATTTTATTGGCCCACTTCCTTCTCAGTTACAGGACCTTACAATTGCTGAAGAAATGATGATAGCGCTGTGCAGAGTGAAATGCTTCATTTTGCATTTGCAGGAGGAGTCGTGTCACATACCAAATGCTCAAAGAAGCTTGAAAGGAAACGTGATTGTTTTTCCACAGCATCCATCAAAGGTGTTAGAAGTGCTGCCTCCACCAGTTGAAGAGATTGTGACACCAATCTGTGTCTTATTTGTTGGTTCATCTCCACCCACTGTTGATTGGCTGCGAAAGCATGCAAAACCGCTGATCATACACAGAAAAAAAGTTAGGTCGGCTTTGATATGGCTGCACAAACACAATACACTCTATGCTGATGTGACTATCGATCATGGCCATTTAGATTCTTTGGGCGAGGAAGACATTTTACCAGTTCATATCAAGACTGTTCCTGTAGATGGTCAACGAGCAGAGGATGCACTCATTTCACAATATGACAGTATTAATGATTGTGAAGGAGATTCTTTTCATGATGTAGCCCCTGAGCTTAGTGATGTGGTCAAAGGACATGTAAATGCTTTGCCTGACACAGATGTTTTTCAGCATGTGGTGGTGACTGATGTTGATGGTAATGCTCCATCTCATGAGCTTCGTGCAGCTGCCCTCTGTCATGTGAAACAGAAAGGTGGAGGCTTCATTCAAGTTCCACATGGACCCAGTCCTATGAATGAATATGTCAATCCTGATTTACTCCTGAAAATTTATCCTACTTTGTTTCCATATGGTCTTGGTGGATTTGAACATCCTCACCATATGCGTCCTCTATCATTTAAACACCAGGTGAAGCACCTTTTTAATTTAGCAGACAAGCATTTTCAAGAGCATTACTCCTTTTTGTTTGTGGTGTTTAATATTTTACAGTGGAGGACATCATTGTTACATACCAGTTTAAAATCAAGTGCACCTCATTTGCAATGGTGTCAGATAGTTTTGCGACAGCATCGTCATCAGCAGTTCACACAGTTGCTGAACATGTTTGTAAGGGTGATTTTTCTACAACCTATACTCCTGAAGAAGAGAAAGTGTGTTGCCTGTTAAAGGAAGTGAATGGTGTTACCTCTCATGTTCCAGGAAGTGGCTCAGTGCAAGCTATGATGCGCAACCAAATTTGAGGTTTGATGTTTGACAAAGGCCTGCTGAACTTTTATATCACAATTAACCCCACAGATGTGTACAATCCTATTGTTAAATTTTTGGCAGGATCTGAGATAGATATTGATGATATGCTCCTGAACAAAGTACCTGACTTTTGGGGGCAATCTATTCTGGTTGCTCGCAACCCAACAGTCACAGTGAAGTTTTTTAACTTGTATATTAAGTCATTTCTTAGCGCCATTTTAGGATTTGATAAGTCAAAAGGCACAGCTGTTGAGGGTATCCTTGGTCATGTGAAGGCGTATTATGGGTGTGTCAAGTCTCAAGGTTGAGGCATGTTGCATTGTCACATGATGGTGTGGCTGGAAGGTGGTCATGATCCTAATGAAACTAAACAACATATCATGGAAGCAAAAGATACAAATTTTTGTGACCAGTTGTTGGTGTTTTTAGATGACACTATATCAAATGACATCCCTTCTGAACCAGATCCTGATATCTTAGTCCCATTGATGGTGCATCATCCATGTTCAGTGCATGGCGTCCCTCCAATCTCAAATGAGGAAGATCTGTGGGCTACAATAGTGCATCAAAATGACTTGCATCACTTGGTGAAAGCTTGCCAGACTCACAAACACAACCTCACATGCTTCAAGTATTGGAAGGGAGCTCCCCATCTACAAGAGTGTAGATTTGACCTTGATGAAAGTCACTATTGTGGAAGCAGCTACATTGATGATGAAACAGGGGAGATTTGCTTACATTGTTTAAATGGCATGGTGAATAATTTCAACTCATCGATGTTGGAAGCTGTATGTTGCAACATGGACATTAAGTTCATTGGTTTGGGTGCTAAAAATTTCAAAAGCATGAACTATTCTATTTTTTGATTTATTAACTAAATAAAAACTATTTTTAATATTAAAATAATAATTAATATAATTAACATGTTTATTTTATATTATATAGTAATTAAAAGCATCAGCAAAAACAATATTATATTATATCACGGATTACATCACCAAATCTCAATTGCAAGCTCATGTTGCATATGCTGCATTAGATCTGGCAAGGCAAAAGCTATCTGAGTTTGATCCTGCAGATGATGAGATAGCAATTAGGGCAAAGGAGCTGATCAGGAAGAGCGCTCATGCTATGATTTTGCACCAAGAGTTGTCAGCACAGCAAGTTGTGGCTTATCTGATGGACTTTGGTGACCATTATACCAGTCATGAGTATAAAAACCTCTTTTGGACTTCTTTCGAAAACTATGCTGATGCCATCATGCCCCTTCCTAAGCAGTTGCGTGATGAAGGATATGGAAAGGTTGGAGTGTCTGAGGATGAAGAAATGCATTCAACAGAAGATGCAGAAAATGACTGGGAATGCTCATTGCAGTTAACAGCGGATGAGGATATTTTGCAAGACATTGCAGATGGTGCTTTGGCCAATGATGAGGTTGCTTTGGTTGTAGATGACGACGGGATATTGGTTCCTAGAGCAAATCAAGTGGAAGACTATCAATTAAGAGCTTTAGCTCTTCATGAAATGTGTATATGGGATTCTGTGGCTCAAGTGGAGAAACAAAAAATCAAACAGATCCAAGGTGATGCTGGTGCAGATACACCTGATGAAGAAGATGTAGAGGAAGAGGGACTTGATGATGGTCTAGGTTTTGATTACATGGACATAGACAATGCTTGCACAATGAGTTCTGTTAGAAATTCTTAAGGTCGTACTCAAGGGATAACTGGATCCAAAGGGCTTTGGCCTCAGCTCATGCGCTGCGCCTCTTACCCAAGTAGTGCCCCTTATTTCAGGAAGGCAAGACTAATGCGTCCGGAAGGTCAGACGAGTAGCATAGCGGATCCAGATGACTTCCAGATGAGGGATAAGTATTGTAGGGCTAATCCAGATGAGTCCAGACTAGAAACTAATGGTAATGGACTGTCAGAGACAGAGGCGGATACAGATAGACTATAGGAATCAATCCTAAGTCTCAGAGGGTGACGAGAGTAGAGATACTCAAGTCTGGAGGACAGGAATGAGTAGAACTAAGATGATATTTGAACTGAGGTACTACAGAGAGTTACAGGAGGTTATATACTATAGGTATCTAATGGAATGATCAATCAGCAGAGTCTGAGGCTATGTATGAAGCATATGGATGGTCTATTGGTAAGTAGAAATGGATCACAAATAATGAAATGGAAATGAAGCATAGGTAACAGATCAGGGAGCAGGACAGATATACAGATAACTGAAATACTGGAGTTAGGGGATTACCGAAAAGAGACAAGTGCTGGTTGTGGATTCGGATGAATTGTGGACCGGACCGGACGAGTGGACAGAATGGATGATGAGATGTTGGAGGGAGATAAGATGTGGATCAGATCTGAGATGAGATAAGGATTGGATCTGAGATCCAGATATGTGGATATGACAGAAATGAGAAAAACAAACACAAGCATGACGATCAGATTTCAATAGAAGACATCATGAAGGATAAGTCGCATTCACATCAATCCTTTGAGTTGTGTGACAGCCACTCCAAGAGCCAAACACATTGTCTCATCATACATCATCCAGACAGGTGCTATGTTCCTGTTCCAATAGGTCCATCACTACTGAGATGTGATCGTCTTGAGGTGAGAGAGAGATATTGCCAGATGATGCTTATATTATTCAAGCCTTGGACCACAATCAATGATTTGTGTGGCATGTTTGAGATGTGGTGGGCTGCCTTTGAAAATTTCAGTATGGATTGTCTGCTGAACAAAATTTTCATTATGAAAAACATGCAAATCTTACATGAATGCAAAGATAGCAGAGATGACCATTTTACAAATCATCATCAGTGTTCTTCCAATCGATCAAATCATGTTTGCAGTGAAGTCCTAGAGCATACAACATATGCAGAAGAATCAGTAGATAATGAGCTGAATAAGGAAGATATTCTTTTGCACATGGAGCATATTGAACAGAATTTGTCCATCAAGAAATCCCAACAGCAGGATGCGACATTGGACTGTTTGCATCATATGGAAATAGCAGGCCAATTTTCTATTGCCAAAGATTTGGCACTAGCAATCGGTGTCAATTCAATGGATGGCAATATCAATGAAGTGGATAAAAATAATCTTTCATTGGAAGATGAATGGCAGAATGCTTACAAGCTCAGGAGAGAGGCATGGAAACAGCATGTCATTGAGCATAATTGCGATGTGCGACCATTGCCCAAAGAATCGTGTGCACCAGATGTTGAGATGTCTTCTGGGAATGATTTCTGGGTGGCAGTTGGCAACCTTTCATCACATACCATACCAGATGTGGCTCCATCGATTGTGCAACATGCTGAACCACTTGTGGCGGAACCTGTAGCAGTTGATATGTATATCAGCCATGATTTTGGAGTATGGTCTAAACAAAGAGCAGGCTCACACATTTTCTCTGATAGCAAATCATTCATTGACACAGAGCTCAGAGCCACTTTGCATGTATTTGGGTGGCCCTGGAGGGACAGGAAAGTCACATGTTATCACTGCTGTGACAGAGTTCTTTAATAGGCAAGGTGAAGAAAGGCAATTTCACTTGACATCATTTATGGGAGTTGCTGCTCACAACATCACAGGCATGACATTGCACTCTGCATTAAGTTTGAATCAACAAAGGAAGAAAGGCAGTAAAGGAAAATCCAAACAGGATCTCATTGCCATGTGGAAGAACATTGATTATTTGCTTGTTGATGAGGTCTTGATGATCAGTTGTAACTTCCTTGTTCAAATTCATGAGGCTCTGTGTGAAGCAAAAGAAAACTCTGCTCCTTTTGGAGGAATTAGTATTGTGTTTGCTGGTGATTTCGCACAACTGCCACCTGTTGGGCTATGAGCTTTGCATCATAAGGTGAACACATGCAGTCTCCACTGTTCGGGGACAGAATAGCATGTTTGGTAAACTACTATGGTTGTTGGTCACTATTGTTGTTTTACTCAAAACCATCATGTGGCAAAGCGGTGATCATAATGCACATTTTGTTGAAGTTCTTGAGCATTTGAGGACTGGTAGTTGTTCTGATGATGATTATGAGTTGTTATCTAATAGAATGATATCTAAAGTAAGACTGACCTGGGCGTTTGGGGAGTGGCTTGATGCACCCATTATTGTGTTTACCAATGATGTGAAAGATGTTATTAATGAACAAGTGACATTGTCATATGCAGAATTCACACACCAGCCTGTGCATTGGTATCACTGTCTTGACAAGCATAATGGTTGATTAATTGACTCCTCTGACCTATGTTCCCATTTAATTGGTCTACATTCAGGATCAACTTCTCAGCATCTTGGAAAAATCCCACTTGTCATTGGCATGCCTGTAATGATTAGTCAAAACTTTGATGTCAATGTGGGAATTGTGAATGGTTGTACAGGAAAATTGAAGAGCATTCGTTTTTCAGTTGACACCGATGGTGATCACCATGCTACATCATGTGTCATTGATACTCCATCTACTTTGGGCAAGCCCCTTCCTCATCTTGAAGCCCATCAATCTGTTGTTTTGCCAGACACAGTTGACATGTCATTTGAGAATCTGTTCAGTGGAAAGAGATGCCACATTAAGTGCACTCAACTTCCAATTTCGCCGGGTTTCGCCATGACTACTCATAAAGCACAAGGACAGACTATTGAGCACACCATTGTGGATTTTGAAGGCTGCACTGGAACAGAGGCTCCCTATGTTATGTTGTCTTGTGTGACCTCACTAGATGGATTACTGGTGCTCCATCCTTTCAATAAAAAGAAGATTTGTTGTTGTCAGAGTGAGGATATGCATATGGAAACCAAACACCAGGGTGTACTTGCACAGCAGACACTTATCGACCATACAACAGATGAAGATGAATGGTTGCAGGCAATATTACATTTGCGATCTATGTTAGGTTGCGCTGACATCGTCAAGATCAAGGCGACTGCACATGAGCCATGGCAGTCTGTGACGGAGTTCTCCAGCCAACTATGCAGTATACAAGCAGAGATTGACACCATTGGTATGGGATGTCCATGAAAAAGAAAGCTTAGTCAGGAACTAGGCATCGCAGGCAGTGTTGGACAGATGGCCAATAGCTCAACCATAGCAAAGCAAGTGCCCTGCAAAAAATGATGATTGAATTAAACAAAACAACTTGAGATGTTGTTGGCCTGATTCCTGCATCACATGCCCTTGGTCACCACATAGAATATTGTGCACAACTCAACTTCGCTTGTTCCTCCTAGTCAGGCCAGATATACCTTGATGGCACACACCCAGAACTAGATCACATTCACTCTTCCAACTGTGCAGCCCTCCCTAACATCCACTCCATCCCAACCCCCTCCTTCAATGACCACATCCCAAGTCCCAAAAATGCATTTTGTGCACTTCTTACTTTCCTTCTTGCAGCTGCTTCATCTCCCACTCTCACACAGGACATCCATGCTCATTCCGATGATTATTTGGTGAGTATGACTATGGTTCACTTGTATGGCTTCCTCCCTGATGAGGCTGAAAAACTCACCATCACTGGTGCACCCAGAGTTATTGGTGAAGTCAAGATTTCTGTTGTCTGGATCCAGGTACTCTCTGAAGACGGCACCATGCATCTTGAGCTCATACATCTCAGTAGTATTCTTTCTTTGATCTTTCACCCAATATTGACCATGACATACTTCAAAATCGACTTGAAGAACAACTGGTATGAGACCACAGTCTCTGCATCTTTTCCCCACTGTATTGTGTCTATCGTGGACTGGGCCAGTGATAGCCTCATGCCTTTTTACTTCCTTGAATCTCATTTTGGGGATGCTCAACTTTCTCCCCTCTCCTCATTCATGCCTGCAAACTTTAGTGCCTTGTCCTGCTCCATCAACAAAGTTGGTGGTTGCTTTAGGAAGGGCAAGGTTGTGGCAGATCTTTGCAAGAGCAAGGCCACCAAGGAGACCACCATGTGGTTGAGTGGGCCTCCCATTTCTCCCTTCCTCATAGCATATTACAATGTCCCATACCAATGCAATGGTGACTGGACTCTTCTACACAAGCATCTTGTTCTACATCCTGACCTACCGGTCTGTTTTACTTGCATTTATGTCTTATTTTTTCATATGACAGATTGTGACAGGAACAAATCCACAGAAGAGGCTGGGAACTTCCAGCAGTACATCTTTGGGCATGGCAGTGAGGAATCAGATGCTGTGATCATGAATGCACAGGATGGCAGTGGGTTCAACAATGCCAATTTCATTACAACTTTCGATGGCCAGAATGGGTGGGTTGTTATTTTTCTCCCTGCCCAACATTGTTTGGCAAGAATGTTTTTGTTGGTCATACTGACATTTGCTTTAGTATCTTTCACATGTCACAAACAATTTCTACTCAACATGCTGTGAAATCACTTACCTCTTCTACTTCACACTCCTGTGACACCATGCCAGTATCTATTTGTGTTAATCAAGACTGCTTATCTAATGTCTTTGGAGCAAATGGGAAAAAAATACCCCTTTCCCCTTTTTTGTTGATTATAAAAAGCAAAATACCATCTCAGTTTGTGTTGTTCACTTCTTTCTTGTACTATGGGTAGGTCTTTGCAAAAATGTTCATGGATGTACTTATTGATCTATTTTGCAGCAGGACTTATTGTTGATGTTTGGATCCACATGCTTCGATTCATGGACCTCCTGGACATAGTCCAATGTTTTGCAGTCAACTACCTATTCTCAATGCTCAGTCATAAAGTGATCAATGACAGGCTGAACTACATCCTCATGCATACTATCAGTGATGCAAGTAATCATCTGCATGCCATCCTGGACAGTACACACTCTGTTCTACTAGGAAGTTCTGCACTCAACATTGTATTGTATGGTACATCGCCAATACACCAACATGAATTGTGCATTGCTACACCATGCTATGCTAAACACATTCTCACCACCTTTTTTGAATGCCTTGGATTTGTTGATGATGAATCACCCATGTTCTATACACCAACATCTGCCATGGTGGTGTATGATTATGAATATATTGAAAAAAATGGCAAGAAGGTGGCTCTCATCAATAGTGCTACAGACTCCGTCATGCCAATGGTTCATGCCCATCGCTCGTCAACTGACTGCATGTTTATTTTGTCCAGTGGTCTCTTTTGTGGCTATCCAGAGTTACTGGACAGCCAGGTCACATTTCTGCCTGTTGCTCATCCCAGATCATCTAGCACTCGGTATTTTGCTGAGCACAAGTACAAAGTGAAGACTTGCAATGACTTTTGGACACTGCCTTGTGTCAGGAAATGTCCAACACTGTGGCGTCGCATGGATGAAGATCTTTTTGTCACGTGGCACAATGGAGTCACCCCTGCGAAAATTCCAGAAGGGCAGGACCTTCAATGGAGGTTGACAAGTCATTGTGCGAATCTTTCATGCTGGAACAACATTTTCCAAGATCCCAATCCACATTCAGGTGCATATACTGTGTGAAGTATCGAACTGTGAATCAAAGAATTGATCAGCCATAATGTGGGTCAACCCAAAACACTCAAAAGATGCATGGTAAACTGATAGTTGTCAGGCAGGACTACCTCATGTTATGGGATTACTTTTTGGAGCAGCCATGATGTGACCATATCCAGTACCACTTTATATTGATAAAGGTAGCACTGTCCTCAGGCATATCAATGACTTGAGTGTTCATCCATTCATTTGTGAAAGGGGCATGGAACCAAACAACATTGTTGATTGCACTATGACAAGGAATATGATGGTAATGAATGACTGCATTCACCGTCATGCATGAACATGATCACGTGTTAGACACCACGCCATCAGCATATCATGTAGGTCCTTTTTACAAGGACAAGAGGTGATATCTCCCTCTCACCCCACCCTGTGGTAACATGCTCACCATTATGCATGACCTCACAGAAAAATGTGTACCATGAAATATCTTGCCATGGGAAGTCCAGGAGGTTGTGGAGCGCATTATCCAGTGAGTTAGGCTTTTGAGACCTGGGTACAGCAGCTTATTCCATTGACAGAGCTGACCAAAATGATGAATTATTTGATGGAATCATGCATAAACGCCTATGAATTGAAGCAGCATAAGAAGTGCATGATATTGCTTGTATATTTACATTTCGGCAATGTTTAATTTTTGGTTTGATTTCTCACAAGAACAAGTTTCATTGTTTGACGCCAAGCATCAAGTAAGAATTCACAAGTGACATCTTGGTAAAAAGCCATGTGACAGTTGTAACTCCTAACTATGATCTCATCGCCCATGGCAGGCTCCTAAATGAAGTCTCAGCAAGCATAAGTAGCCCCTATCATTTTATCACCTTAACTTCTACCACATCATGGCTGAACAACACACAGCCATACATAAATGTATGTTGGCCACAGCTTATCATACCTAATGGTGATGGCTCATGACAGTGTTTTGACTCAGTGGCCTTGTCGCCTAAATCAAGCCAACAAATCAGCATTTATCTCAGTCTCCCAGACCTTCACAACTTGTCTTGTACATGCAAAACTATGCGCCGCATTGTTGAAGGCATTCACAATGAGGCTTATCTTGATTTGCTCCAATCTTATGCTGCTGGATCATTGACTGAATTTGACCGCATTATTGCTGATAGTAGCACAGTGATTATTGGGTCTGCAGCTTTATCACTAATCTCCCATCTGGCTTTGTGGCATCTGAAAGATTTCAATTTGGCAGTGCCAAGAGGCACTACAGACCAACTACACCACTGGTTATTGAGGAATGAATTCTGTACAATCCAACAGGCTCAAGAACCACCTATCACACCATCTGTAGATGACTTTGTCAACTCTCATCGCACATTCTGTCATTTATTGCAATCTCACCTTAAAATCAGCATCACTGAAAGCATTGATGACAGCATCCTTACAGTGGTTTTGACAGGAAGATACACTGCAGAAATGTGTTATGTGACTGGGGGCAGTGTTTTCTGTGCCCATCCACAGCTTACATTAGACCACATTGTGCTCAAATGCAATTCACCTACCATGCAAAAATCGGACACTGCAAAGGCACAATGGTACATTGACATGGGAATGCAATACTTGCAATCTACCACTCAATGGAAAAATGGGTGCAGCCAAAATTGTCCAACACTCTGGCGCAGTGTCAATGACAAAAGCCAAAGCCTTCTCATTGACTGGACTGACAAGGAAGGGGGAGATTCCAACTTCACACATAACACCTCATGGCACACCCATGGGCAGCACCACTATTGGTGCTTCAGCACTGTTTGTCAAAGTGTACAATGCACTTTTCATCTGCATAGCCCTGAACTTCCAAGGCACAGTCCATCAGACTATGAAGATATCCTGTGTACAAAAATCACTTTAGCAGGTAATCCAGTACGTTGACTAGACATCTACCAAATGTATTTGCATACTAAACCTGATCACATACAAATAGTTAATCAGGGGAGGACATTGAGGAATTCTTTATGCCACTAGCTGTGGCAGGCCATTCTTAGTGCCTATACCTCTTCTGGTCAACACTCATGAACTACACACAACAGATCATCTGTACACACACTCATGGGTAAATGAATTTGGATGTGATGCTATGTTGATCCACCCAAACATGATTAGAAATGCATATTTGACACACCCATCAAACCAAAAACCATTACTGTTCAGGTTGGTCATATGTCATGAAAACAGTGCTGAAAGCAGAAAGAATTACTTCTTATCATCACTTGAAAGTGATATCACAGGATATGGAAACACATTTATGCTGTATGGAAACATACTGGTGATGAAGACACATCTTGACAATCATGCAGAGGTCATGGATGTCAATCCAGGAGA